CCGCGTATGTTGGCAGACGAATGGCAGTCAAACCCAAACAGGACAGGTCAGGGACAGGGCAAGGCAGAGGCAGATCAGAGGGACCACATACACACAGCAAACGAAATCATATCAATAACAGAGGGGGGGAAAGAGAGGTAGGATGGAGAAAGAAGATAGCACGGGCCACCGTACGAACTCGACGACAGAAGAAGCAGTCTCACAGACCTGATCAGCGAAAATCCTGGTTTTTGGCTCAAGGATGGCTCCTCCTCTTATCTCATCCTCCACAGCCATGAGTCTTGGAAGCAGAGAAAGAGAGAAGGGGAGAGAGAAAGTAGGGAAGGGGGGGGTGACAGAAGGAGAGGGAGTATTATGAATTCAAAATGATACTTAACAAGATGTTGAGCAGATGCATCTCCAACATCTGGCTCAACGACATCACAGTGATACGATGCTGATCTCCTGTATCTCAAATCTAAATCTCAAAAACTGATAGGAAGCACAATCTTTTGAGCCACCGAGCAGCAGGAACGTAAGCCGTGCTTTATGAGGCACTGCCAATTTTCACTGGTGGAGCCTTGTTTCGTCCCCATGGGATTTATCAAAGTATTTCTTCCCAATTTAAGGTGTTTTCAAAGCGCAATTACAGCCAACAGTGGAAAATTACACCCGGTTGTGTGACGTGAATGTTCAGTAACTGATCCCCATCATCCCCAGGGAATTTCCCATCTTGCGTAACATGGACTGACCAAGGCGGAAAAATCCTTTGACTAATCATTTCAAAGACTCTGCTCGCAGATACTAGCGAGAGTCCGGCTGCAGTTTTCATGAGCCAGCAAACAGTGCAGGTTTCCCAGCTTTCATGATTATTCAAGTGCCAGCGATAGAGTCATTCAATGATATTTCTCACAAAGCGTTATCTTACACTTACTTGGCCAACTGGCTAGATTGTGGATATTGTCATTTGGTGTAAATGCCAAGTAGAAGTTACCGTGAATAAAGAAAGACCTCTCAACATCATAGACTTCAATGCATCGCCTTCATGATTTTCCATGTTTTCCATTTTTTTTTAATCGTAGCTGACAGCAGACGAATAAACATCCTTTATTTTCTTAACATGAAACATGACTGTTGGAATGTTATCCCTTTATAATAGTCAACTATTGAGTAATCTTGCAAACGCATGTCAATTTGTCAAAGTAAAACAAGGTGGAAGATTGTCACTTGTGCATTCATTAAGCCACTAATCCAATCAAATAGTTGACAGGAACATTTAATTGGCGCCACGCAGGAATAAATACACCACAAATCAAGTCGTGCTGTGTCACTCAAAGCTAGTCCCCTCCACCACATCCATATCACTTTATTAAGAACACAGAGTTCGACAATAAAGAACGAAAATCCACAGGTGAAGTTTCAAACATAAGCGTTTGGATGTTTTATTCCATAAATAATGTACAATGTTGAGAGTTTGGTTGGTTTTTTTTTTACAAAAGAAGAGAAGAAGGAAAAGAAAAGAGTCAATCATAAGCACACACAGAAATATTAGCACTGTCCCGAAAAACAATGGAATGTAACATGGGCATACAGCATTAAGATTCTGACATGACTCCAAAAAGGCAGACAATGATTCATGTGGGTGATATGTTACAAAAAGAAGAGGAAAAAAAAGAAGTTATATATCCAGTTGTACTTCAAGTAGTGTGCTTTTGAGGTCAAGTCGTACATTTAGTCAAAACAATGCGTGTATGTACCAACATGAGGTCACAAAGTCTGAATATTTTGCTACAGAGGAAAAAGGCAAAAGACAAATAGGATGTAAAGTTAATGAAAAGCAAAAGGAAAGACAGACCTGGGTCAAACAGCAGCTGCATATATGCTCTCTATTTTTTGTAAGCTTACCTGATAACATCTAATTTGTGTTGATACGGCAAGTTTAACCCAACCTCGTGACATATTTGAGCTTACTCTGCACTTTAATCGCACATTACAAATAATTTTAACATAAATTAAAGCGACGTCTTTTTGTCAGTCAAACATAAACGAAACAAGTAAACTAAAAGTGTTTTAAATATACAAAAACAACCATGCAATCAACCCAAGTCCCCAGTACAGAACAGCATGTTAATATGCATTTAAAAAACAGTATGTTTGACTTACATTTGACTGAC